AATTTAAATTACAATTATGTTTGGGGTCGTTATTCTGTTGAAACAAAAATGTCCTGTAAAAAAGTGTTTTTCTCTTTGTGCCTCATTAGAATCTAGAAATGTTTCCAAATCGGCATATTATATCATATACATAGCTGGCTTATGAATGATCGGTATAAAAACGAAACATAGAACCAAAACCTGTTTTGTTTCTTTCGATATCGTTCTCGATAGTTCAACATAACGAATTGGAATGATTGGCATAACAAATACAGTGAAAACTCGCTTGGCCGGACACTCACGGTCGGACAATTTTTGTCCGCTTAAGGGGATACTTAAATAAGTTATACACCGATCGAATGTTTTAGAAAAAGTGTCCGCCCAAGAGAGTGTCCTTTAAGGGACTTTTCACTGTACTGTTGCGGGAAAAATTGTGGATACTGGGTATTCAAATGAAGAGAGTCTGTCACGACTTCAACGTTCTACGCGTCATAATTTTAAATTTTGTTCTACCTTAGCACGCGGAGAGTATTTGTTGAAATTATAATCTTAATTGCGTTTTACAACTCGAGTTATATTTGAAGTACTGAAGCATTTTAGCTTATCTATTGTTTATCGATCTACACAATGCAGCCTAAATCCCCAAGTTCGAGCCTCTAAACATAGATAGGCTTACTTCCTCCACCAGTTGAGTGCTTGATAAATCACTAAACAACAACAAGGCTAACAAGTTGCCGGCCAAAATATGTGCATGTGGCGAAGTACGAGGCTTAATGTCAATAAGCTTACCGAGCAAGGGAACGCGTGTTTTTATAAATTCGCAGCCATAAGTACCGTGCGTGATACGGTCTATATACAATATTATATATATATGTACATAGTACTATATAGTATGTGGTATGTACAGAGTATATAAAGGCTGCACTGCAGTGTCAATTGTGGGCCATGATTGATTCGTTTGTTTCAGTTGCGCAGCTGAAGTTGAAAAGGGGGAAGCATTGGATCGTCACTCTTATAGTTACGCCTAATCAGTCACCACTTGCTAGCTAAAAATAAACCCAAATCGGGTGTCGATAACTGGCCGCAAGTTTATGCCAATTTGTTAAAAACAAATTATATTTGATATTAATTTTATTTTCCCTAATGAGTTTGCTGCCCCTCCTCTCTGTTATTTTTAGTGAATTCTTTTTTTATACGAGCACATATCATTCGATGGGCAAAGTCAATGCAAATAGTGTGCTTTTAATATGATTGATGTGTGTGTTCGGTTTACGGGTACGCGGCTTTGATCGCCAAGTCACGATGGGCTTTGATGGAAGGTGTGCTGAATTTTATCACATGACCGTTGAACCTTATACGCGAATAATACAAACATATTTGCTTGATAATTTATTAAATTTTTGTTGTGCTAATTAACTAAAATTACTGTCTGGAACATTTTTTTTGCGACTCACAGCTGTAAGTAAATTTTGACTGCTGATTGGCATTTCTAATCATTATATTTTAAGGTAATTATTAAATATAAAATATGTTAGTACAAGTTTGCATTCAAGGTTTGGAGTCTATTTTTCCCCATTTAGAGTGAGAATTTTCTGAAATTTAGCGCTTACTTGTGAATCACAAATCAATCGGTCAGGTCAAACTGTTATAAACAAATGTAGATGGTATTATTACATATAATCCATGTGAAATAATCTAGCTTGTCCCATGAAGTTAGTTTTAAATTGTGAACAAATATTTAAAATCTCTTTTTGGGGATTCTTACTTCTGTGATTATTATTAGATATACATATGTATGAATTCTGATTCTAAACACAACAATACTATAAACATTTATGGGTACTGTTAACCCTAGAAAAGCTAAAAAATTTTATAGGTTTTATCTTGCTTTACATTCTAGGTAAGAGTTGCTTCCTTTTTGTAAAAAAAAACATTACTACTTTCGAAACCTTGTAATTTAACAGAAACGTCTTCATACCCTTTACCTGAAGGGTAGAAATGTATGTAACGGGCAGAAGAACGCATCACCTATGTAATGTTATTACTACATTAATATATGATCAGCGTGACTAGACGACTCAGTATAGATAAGTCTGTATGTATGAACAGCAATAACTTTTAAACCATAGCAGCTAGAAACACAAAACTTGGTATGTAGACTTGTCCTATAAAGATATATGAAGAAAAAAAAACTATCACACGCATGGTAAAGAAACGATTCTAAGTGAACAGCATTTGTTTGCAAATTAGCTTTAGAGGAACTGCAATTACTTATCTGCCTTCCTGGGCAACTAGACAAGTATTCGAGAAAGAAAGCTTGATGAATTCTCAGTATTTTAATTGAATGTTCGTTTTCCGTGCAGACGCCCCCACTGCGGCACGAGGCCCGCTTCCATCTTGTGGCGCCAATCACATGGGGCTATTTACTCATGATAAGAGAACATGCCTCCCCCGCACATCCACCCTCCACACACCAACAGACACGCGCCCACAATACTCTACACCACCCCACACGATAGTATTAGCAATCGGAGCAACCGTTCGATTTATTAATGGAGTCGCTTTTTTCTGTTTATTCAGCCGTCTCTGACAAGCATGGAAACAAATGTTCCACTAAGCGCTGATTTGTACAACATGGCGTATGCTTGATGCGAAGTTCTTTCCTTTCATTTTATCAATTTAATGTGCAAATAAATTAGATAACACTCTACTCAACTCATTAATTGCAACAACATCAGAAATTAATGCGAAACAATTGAAAATACGAAACACGTATGGATTGAACAAAAAATGAAGTCACTAAATGGGCCTTTGCTCAGATAAGATTAGGAATTTCTGCTGCAAGCTAAAGCTATTTTTGGAACTTCGTCCAGACATTCTGGAGGTGTCAAAAGCTGTATAGTTTGTGACGAGCAGGTTAAGTGCCAGACGAATAGAATAGAACGGAACGACCTTGTCAGCCATTCGTAGAACACATTCCCATTGTATCTGCTTATCAAATATACTCGCAACTACCAAACAATTCCAGCGAACAGATTGTCACAAACAATGCGCAAAATATTTTATTAACAATTGGCATTAATGCTTGTTCATTCGCTTGTGACCGCACTGATAAAATTCAATTCAATTCAATTCAAATGGAACAACAGCACAGGTCCGTCCACTTATAAATACTCGTATGTGTCGATTAGTCGCCCATCGATGACTCAATCGCTAAGCGAAAAAATATAGATGGCAGATCATAAAAGCTCAACACGTCAGCTATGCCAGCAGTTCTCTAATGCCAAATAAGTTGTTTACGGCACACCATAAAAAAAATTGTGGAAATCATTTAACGAGAAGGTAGAACTTCTTGTATTGCTCAGAGTTTTGGGCGCTGTGCGAGCCTCTAAATGCATACATACTACACATATGTATAATCGTACGATATTTGATGGTATTTTATATATGGCTATAGATATAGCGACTTTGTCAACATGTTTGTGGTCAAACGCTCGAATGCAGTTGAACAAACGATAAGTTTTCGACCAAATATAGAGCAAGAGAAGGTAGCTTCTACTTACAAAAGAAAGTAGAAGAAAAAATTCCAATAAATGAAAAAACGGTTGATTATTTTCCAATATTAAACTTTCTTTTAACCATACGACATTTTTTATTTTCATATTATAAATATTTTTTATAGATTTTTTTCTAGTTTTACGAATTTTAAAATCCTGCATTTAAGCTATTGAGCTGTGAATAAATTTTTATTCAGAATCAAAATAAGAATCTTTTTAAGACATTACTTATTCTTTATGAGAACTCAATACGATGCTTTCTAAGCAACAAAGTATCACAGTAACAAAAAAATATTTAAGGCAAAAATAATAAAAAATTACTTTTCTCTTAATGCAAAACATTTCAAATAACTTGTGTTTGTTTCATAAAAATACTTTAAATAAGTAATGGGAACCTTTTTAAATTGACATTTGGATCTAATCTTATTAGTTTTTACTGAGACAAGTTGTGTTTTTACTGATACCTAAAGTTTTGTATTTATTTTGAATATTCCATGGACTTTTTTATATATGAGCTTTTTTAATACTATTATTAAATTTTCAAATACTATATGTATACAAATTCAAGCTGGAAAAATGACGAATTTCATCAAAAAAGGTTTCGATTTTTTTTGTTTGTTAATTTTATAAGAGTATTAATTTTTAAGGGGGCAAGGCCGTTCATATGTATGAAGGCTATCTGGCACGATTTGGGTTGCGAGATGACTCTTAATTTTTTTTTTTTTTCATATGATCGCTCTCTGGCGAAATTGGGTTGGCGCTAAGAATGGGAAAAATTGACTTATATTCATGGCACTAATCAATAGAAACAACAAAAATAGTTACACAAAATTACTTAACATACTCGTCACAAAATAATTTGCATATTTTTTTCATATGTCCAAATATTTAATATTTTGTGTTTAAATTTCCACTCAAGCGCAGTCGCTTTTTTCTTCGTCGATTTCACATTTTCACATGGTGGTCTAATGGTGCTAATTTAGTCTCCTCGCAGACAATGCTTGAACTAATATTTGCCATTTAGGGCCGCAATAGTCATTAATAATAGCCATTAATAACGAGGTACTAAATCAAGCGAAAAATTGGCCATTAAAGTCTTAACGACTTATGGCTGATATGCCATTCAACTGCCAAGTAGCTACGGTTTCTAAAAGTTAGATTCATTTCAGATGTGGCTAGGATGGGACTGCAACTGCAGCGGCAACTCGACTCGGCAGTCAAAGCAACTTAATTAGCCAGGGAACACAAGCACATCAACACACTCACACACACACACACACACACATAGCTGTATCTATATCGAAGTGAAAGCTAATCAGAGGCAACCAAAGAGGCATCACAATCAGAGTCGCGACGATGACGATTATGCTAATCAGTGTGAATGCGAGGTGGGAACCTGAGACCCTTGCAGCGGCGCCAAACAAAATCCAATTACCAAACACTGCGAGTTGCACATCATTAGAAATGTTTCCATCCCGCAATACCAACAACAACAACAACCGTAGACACACTGTTAGTGGTATTACTAGCATAAGGATAATTGTATATTTGACGTTACTGTTCCTGATCTCGTTGCCCGCCACCTTAGCCAAATGCCGTGACGAACGTCCGCGGAGCTGTGAAGCGATTTGTGCCACCGGTGATCCGACACGAAATTGCACAATACGGGCATTGGTGCTCCTGCCCGATGACAACATGTATCAGGCCTCTCTGCCGCGTGTCCTTCCCATTCTGAAGGTGGCGGAACAGCAGCTGCGCGCAAAGTCCTTGATACCACCGCATATAGACTTTGAGTGGCTGCCCCACAACACCAAATGCGATGCTTCGCTGGCTGTCATTAAGGCCATGGATGGGGTCATCAAGCAGTGTGCTCAGGTCATATTTGGGCCAGTCTGCGACTATTCGTTGGGTAAGTTTCGAAAATTCATTGATTTATGAAAATATAAATGATCTTTCAAGTCAGTTGCGAAATTAAAAAGTTGGTCACCTAAATATTAAGATAAAATGTATAGACTTTTAAAAAAGTCAAAGTTAAGGTTAAAAAGTTGGTTTTCAATTATTAACTGACTAAACTATCAAATCAATTTGTTCTTTCAAAAACGTAGCCTTTTATTTCAGCTTGATTAAAACAAGAGAAAAAGTCCTACACCCTTCGGGGTCACTAAAATATAAACTATATATTTTTTAATCAATTTTATGTAATTCGGCTATCTGTCTCTTTTAATGCCAGGCAGACTCTTTGGGGCCACCAAACATAACGTCTACCCCAGCACGATTTAAAGTATTAAAAAACCCAATAGCTTAAAGGACATTTTAAAAACTTAAAGTCCGTTTCTTATAGCTAGTTCGTGTTTTTTTTAATATATTTTAATAATTTAATAATTTTACAAATCACAGACTTTTCTAACCCAACTTGATTTTTTTTCAAAAAATCGCAAAAACTTGACTCTCCCGCAAGGACGTATGCAGTTTGTTCAAAAGGGAAATAATGCGTTAAAATAATAATTTATGCGTACAATCAACAGCAAAACTTCCATAAATCCAACTAAGTTCCATTTTAGCGCGAAATAGTGCGCCATAATAATGAATGTGTGATCGACTTTAGATTACGAAATTTTGTTCTAAAAATGAGGCTATGGCTACCCCCTGCCCCCTCTGCACGCCCTTGCTCTTCGGGGTCACCATATTATCAAGTTAATTTACCTGCTATTCCAGCGCGATTTCAGCAGCAGTTAAAGTCCTAGACCTCTCTGTCTAAACAACTATAAGGCCAGTTCGGCAAAGTACTAGGAAAACATTCCTATTCATACAGTCCTATTTAATTTGGAAGGCACCTTGTAGTCAGCCTTTTTTTAAATTTTCAATTCCATGTTATGTAATCTGATATCTGCTTCAACTACAACTACAAAATATAAAGTTTGTTTAGAGCACAGGCTATTTGTGAAATAAATAGCTGGTATACTTCAGCTTTAAGTTAAATTTTGAATTGTATTCCGATAGATGCTTAAGTTTACTTAAACTACTCTAATGCATAAAAATTCTATTTGGCAGCTGCTGTCAGTCGCATAACTAAGTACTTCAATAGTGAGGGCACACCACTCATAACCGTTGGTGGCTCCACTTACGATTTCGAGCAGAAGAAAACCGATTGCAGTGATGAGTTCTATATGCTGTTACGCACAGGAATGCTGAGTTTCGAGACCATCTCCGAATTGACCATAAATGTCATGAAACGGTTAGTAGGTTTTGGCAATTGAAAGTTTTATTATTGAATCAATCACACCACACACCCACAGCCACAACTGGTCGCATTCAATTTTCTACTATGAGGCGAATGGTCAACGGAGCGTGGCCGGCAAGCACACCTGCTTCCTAATGATGAAATCTCTGGGCAAACAAATGCGCAAGGAGAACATGACGTTTGCACAATATCCTCTGGAGCCGAACACGACACACGATATGCGGATGGAGGAAATGCGTCGCGAAATTGGCAATAAACATGCAAGTAAGTGCATAAATAAATAGGAATGCTGAACGGGGGCCATGATTTTAACAACGCTGTTATGTGTCGCCTGCTGTTATCAGCGCTGCTAAGCCATAACAGAATGAAGCTTCTCTGTAAAGCTTTCAGAGTACTGTTGTATGCGCTGTAAAGACTTAACAGTACATTGCGCGAAGGGGCTCTGTTAAGAGAATATTGTTGAAGTGAGGCTATATTTATTTCTAATATTGCGAATCTAGTCAGGAGAATTTTACATTAAGTCGATTTTTAAAAAATATATTTATTTTTTCCCTTTTCTAAAATTAGTTTCGTACATTTTATATGGTATCATTATTTGAAAAAGGTTGTTACTTTTAAGCTTTAACACTTTTACTTAAACTTTTAAACTCAACTGATGAATTCGATTTATTAGCGTTTCGACCTTTGTGCAATGAATTCGATTGGCACGACAGCCAAAGACAAACATCAACGAATCTATGAGATTACTCTTGCCACTATCATTGGCACCAATGATGGCTGTGAAAGAGCGATGAAATGGTCCGGGGCTGACCTCGCCCGCATAGCTTTTAAAATTGTGAATCACAATGCGTTTGATTATCAAACGCGGTCCTCTACTCTCTCCAGAGCAGTCTGCCAGCACTTGTGGCGGTATAAAAATATCATCAATGCGCATTCTCACCTCCTCATCATCTACAATTAGGGCATTGTTCACAGGGTCTTCTGCCATTGCTAGGTCTTCCTCTGCTTGAGGGCGTCGCTTTTGTGACTAAATTTCTTCAATTTGGTTGCCTTCCATTGATCAGCAATTACACTAGTTGCTAATTAGTATAATTAAGTTGCTTTTTTCTTTAAAATTAAATGCAAAAAGTCAATTTTTCAAGGCCGTACAAATAGGACGTCAAATTCAAATTAATGCAGTATAACATACTACTTTGTTTTTATTGAAATTTGCTTAGATTGGATATTCGGATAAAATAATAATAAACAAAAGTTTTCACAATTCTATATACTTGTATGTCATCTTTTGAATATTTTTTTATAAAATATTTGTAATATGTTGTCAATATAACAATATTTGTGCTTAACCGTTTTAGTAAATAGTCTTCACTTTTACATTTTTTTCGGCTCTAAAAAAAACAACAAAATTTTTAATAATATTATTATGAAATGTTTAAATATTTTCAAAATAATAAAAAATATTTTCTCTGCAGATTATTTTAAAAATATCGCCAACCAAAGTTTCGGCGAAGCATTGCTCATAAGCTTTAACAGTGCTGTAATGACTTAACAGCGCCTTACGTTTGGTGCTCTCTTATCAGAATATGAGAGTTTTAAAAGAATTTGCAACAACTGTTGGTGTCAACTTAGCCGGGACAACCACCAAACAATTGCATATCTGAAAGCTTTTGGTTGCTGAATGTACCTACAGTGCGTATCAGCAATGTGTCTGTTATGTTGAAGGATTAAAAAATTAAAAGTTGTATGAGAGCTGCTTAAATCGAATATATCTTGAAATATATAAATATAAGTACACGTAGACAAAATATTTAAAACCTTAACTAAAACTAAGTCTTGTCTGATTTTTTGACGGATTTTTTCATTGCATTATATTCGGGTTTTTTTTCTTGGATTTTTAAAGCGTTGGATAAAATCAATAAAAAATAAAACAGCCACAATCTCAGACATCAATAATGCAATGATAACGAAATAGATTTTTCAAGCTATTTTTTTATGTTTTGTTTAAAAAGAACTGCGTTGGCCGATTTAGGTCGGAAATGTCTCGTTTTGTTTAATGACTTGTTGACTTTTTGAGAATAGCTTCTTGCTTGCTTCCTTGCTGCTGAAAAAAGTGGACAACAGATTTTCCCAGTCCTCCACTGAATCAATTTTTCTGTCATCCGGAAATTTTTGAAATGCCAGAAAAAGGCTCCATATCTGGAATATATGATAAATGCAATATTTACAAAACCAAAATAAATAAAAAAAAAAAATAATTTCAATTTATTTAAACATTGAAAAACTCTTTATTTGTAGAACTATTGCAGTCTTCTAAAGTTTTCTCTCTATAATAATTAATTCCCTAAGAAATGAAAAGAAAGTGTATCAAAGCTTTTCTCTCTGTGTGCTGTTATCTTGCCAGCATTCCCACGCTCGCATTTTACTGAATATATAAACAAACGCCATCGTAAAAGCTTTCTCGCCATTCGCGACACGTGCGTTCAAAGCTTTTTCGAAATTGGCGCCAACAGGCAGGCAAACAGCTGAGCCCACGCACACCAACGCACTCTCAATGCAAAATGCCGGCTGGACACCCTCACATCCACACACGCACACGCCCTCGGAGTCAGCTTCACTTTCGAATTTTCGAGCTTCCCGATACTCTGCAAGTTGCACTTCGCAGACAAAGCTGGCGCAGCGCCAGACGCCGGTGATAAACCGTTATGTGCGCACGACAAACGCGGAGAGTTTAAAGCCAAATTGTTTAACAAACAAAGCAATTAGTTCCCCGTTTCGTAAAGTACCAAGGTTTATGCAAACACAAATACACGCTCGTAAAAAAGTGGTAAAATTGACAACAAAACTAACAGAACGAGTTAACGAACTTGTGATTAATATTATTAATTTTATTGTTATTGTGTTTTGCGAATGACTGTGCGTTATTTATTTTAAAATCAATCTGTGTGTGTTTTTTTTTAATTGAAGTAGTTTTACGTTACAAGGTTTGTAAGAAAAATGCATTCAAAGGAAAGCAGAATTGAAAAGTATAAGTGATTCAAAAACCAAAAATTTTTATTAATGATTTTATAGCTAAACTCTTCCTTAACATTTGTAGTTTTTCTCCCAATTACTTAAAGAGCTGTCAGATCTTACACATTTTTAAAATCCTAATCCGTTACAACATTGAAAAACATCTAAGTAAAAAATCTAAAATATTCGATTTTCAAATAAATGTAATCACAAATTTATATTTTATACATTTTTAAAGTATTATATTACTTATTTATAGATGAGTATACAATATTGAATGTTGAGAAAAAGGCGTATATTGTTTGTGGAAATTTCTACCAAATATATTACAAATATTTATATAGAATTATATTACTGGTTCGCAGCGAAAATCAATTGATTTTTTTTGCGTTTTCCCACCGATTTCCCCTTAGATTGAAAATATAATGCAAAAGTATTTTAAATATAGCATACTTTTGGGGGCCTTATTCTGGTTTTTTTTTATTTTTTTTTTATAAAACTTTTATAAAACTTTAGATTATATCAGTGGAAAATCGAAGAAACTTTGAAAAATAAATGCATTTCAATTTTCTTGCATTATGAAATTTCAAATTAGTTTGAAAAGAAACCAAGTATATAAATAATTTTGAAATGACTTAGCTGCAGGCTGAAATTGAAAAATTTAATTGCAAAGTTGTTGAAATGGTTATGTTTTTGTTATATAAAAAGGATAAAAGTTGTTCGAAAAAAACGATTGCTTCTTCTATGAAATTCAACTAATCAGCTTTTTAAATTAATTTAAATTTGTTGAAATGGTTATGTTTTTGTTATATAAAAAGGATAAAAGTTGTTCGAAAAAAACGATTGCTTCTTCTATGAAATTCAACTAATCAGCTTTTTAAATTAATTTAAATTTGTTGAAATGGTTATGTTTTTGTTATATAAAAAGGATAAAAGTTGTTCGAAAAAAACGATTGCTTCTTCTATGAAATTCAACTAATCAGCTTTTTAAATTAATTTAAATTTGTTGAAATGGTTATGTTTTTGTTATATAAAAAGGATAAAAGTTGTTCGAAAAAAACGATTGCTTCTTCTATGAAATTCAACTAATCAGCTTTTTAAATTAATTTAAATTTGTTGAAATGGTTATGTTTTTGTTATATAAAAAGGATAAAAGTTGTTCGAAAAAAACGATTGCTTCTTCTATGAAATTCAACTAATCAGCTTTTTAAATTAAATGGAAAAATAAATGCATTTCAATTTTCTTGCATTATGAAATTTCAAATTAGTTTGAAAAGAAACCAAGTATATAAATAATTTTGAAATGACTTAGCTGCAGGCTGAAATTGAAAAATTTAATTGCAAATGGCGCCACTTTTGAACTCAAAATTTTATATGGTTTTGTTTATTTTGATAATTATTACCTTTTTTCTGCATGAAAATGTCGTCGAACGACTTTTAATTGGGCTATCTGTAAAACTGAACAGATTAGCTATTTTTTGGTGATGGTTTTCACTCGGTATTGGTTTTGGAAAGAAGTAGGATTATATATAATATATATAATAATATATTTATAATAATATATCAATCCGATGTCAATCGGGATCTTCAGTATATGTCTATTTCTCGCCATTATTCGCATAACTGGGAATCTAATTTTCTAAAAAAGTCAAGTGATAGTCGCAGCGGGTTTGGTATTTGTAGTTTTTTTTCAATAATTGTGATTCTTCAACTGCTGCTCTAACTATTTCATGGGTATTGTGCCAAGAGCACATCAACTGGCTCATTACCAATAATAACAATATTTTCATTTTATTATTAATGTTAAAATTATTCGCATTATAAACTTGTGCATTATATGATTTTTCTATTTTGCGATTTGTACATTTGTATTAGGTTTTTCGAGAAATGCTCATGGCATTTAAATAAGAGTTAAATATAAAATGGAAAAAACCTAAAAAAAATAAGTAATCATTAGTAACATCCTGCACTTAAAGCAAACAGGCAACATGTAACACAGCTGCAATTTTTAAGGCTCAAAGGCCGACGACTCGCAGCTGCGAGCAGTGATTAATGATTATCACATGTCGTCCACAACTGTGCATATCGGATATATCTATGTATATATAGTAGAGAAGGAGAAGAAAACAAAAGCAACAACAGCCCCAACTGCTGAGTAATGTTTTTCATTCTTTTTTGCAGCCCTCTTCGTCACATCCTTAAGCTATTTAGGAAAATAAAGCATTTATGCAAATAACTTTGTGGAATTTTTTCCGTTATGCTTCATAGAAATTAATATAAATTCTAAAGGAATGCTTCAAATGCATTTGTTGGAATTTTAATCCACCACCCTACCTCCCTCCACCACTCCTTTTTCAAACTCTGACTAAGACAAATTTTAAAAAAGTCGTTACACATTAGTCT